GTTTAGTGTTTCTCTTCAGTGTTGGCCCTAAATGCCAAGTCTCAGAATTCAAGCAATCTACTCTCATGGGATGGCACACCAGGGGTTCCAGTGCCTCCCACCAGCACAACAGATGCCAAGCTGTCTGGATCTAGTCCTGACAGCTCCTTTCTCCTCTGCTTCATTGTCCACAGTCCTCAGTGAACAAGGAATAATGGATCTCACGGATCCAGAGGCAAGGCTGTTGCCACTAATGGGTGACGTGTTGGTACAAGATAAAGTGTTACTCACCCTCCCCTATAAGATAATAAGGACCCATATACCTTGGGGTTCTAGTCAGAAGGAAAGGACTTTTGGAAACTGCCGTCTTCCCAAGAACTGCTCCATTTGAGATGTGATTCTCATTTATGTCTGCTTACTCTAGTAAGAGTGGCATGATTCATCTCTGGCACTGTCTGATGCAGACAGCAGATGCCACCCATGTGGGGAGACCTCTGTGAGACATTTGAGTACCACAACAAGCACGACTAATGGTTTAGTCAGCAGTCGATATAACTTTTGATGTAGAGGAGTTTCTTCCGCCCAGACAAGAGCTAACACCTCCTGTGGTAAAGGGGAAGCCGTGGTTTACACGCTCAAGAGGACAGTCTGAAGCCAGAGGCAGAAAAGAAGCCTGAAACCCCTGAAGAAACGATAAGATGAGAGAAATAAGTATTCCTCAAAGCGGTTACTTGCAGGCCCTCACTGTGGAATCTGCTGTTCCCACTCCTTCCGTCTGCCTTTTCCAGACAGAGCAAAAGCTTAGGCCTGCTTGCCCTGACAGCTTGCCCATCCTTATTCTCGATCTCTAAAGAAATCCTCCCTCCATCCAACCACATGCAACTGCTTACAAACTTCCAATGCTACGGGCCTGTCAGCCATTCAACCTCAAACTCGGAAAGGATAACTGCAGCTCCTTTTTCTTCCTTCATCTCTTCCCAGCGGCTCTCCAGAGCTGCAGCTCCTCTGTCCTGCTGTGTTTTCTCTAATAAGATCGTCCTTGAGGTTCCTTCTGAGCCCATTTTTTTATGTTATTTTGTATATGAAACTAAGAGCGTACAAATGGACCATGTGTCAGAGTTCCTGAGGCTTAGGAATGGGAACAGTTCTTGGCCCAACATTCCCATCCAGTTGCTCTCCACTCCCACCCCTATAAACATCTGTATTAAAGAATACGCAAACTCCCCATTGTCTAAAGCTTCTCACATCTGTCTATAACTGCAATTCCAGGTGATCAGGGGCCATCTTTCTGACTTCTGTGGGTACCAGAGACACATGTGTGGTGCACATACATACATGCAGGCATAACAATGATACTCATTAAATGAATGAATGAATGGATGAATGAATGAATGAATGAATGAATGAATAATTTAAAACTCATGCATGATTCTAACTTAGATCAAGCTCAGCCAAAGATATATAAAATGATGCCTGCCCAAGAAAAGAAAACAAACAAATGAAAAGACCAAAAGAAGGGAAAACTGTTATATTGACAACTTTATACCTAAAGATAAATTTTAATAGACTTTCTTCCAGATCAAAAACTGCCTATAACACGTTACAATTTAAAAACAGGCTCACCTGCTTAGAGTTGCGTTCAGGTGCTTCAACTCTGCTTGCAAAAGGAAGAATAATATGTATCACCATGACTGCATTATAAATGAAAACAGAATAATCAACAAAGTTCCTTCCTGAAGTTCCAGTCAGTACTATTAGAAGGCTTGTCATTTTAAAATTTACTTTCTAAACAAAGACAACCCAAAGCTGGCTTGATTTCTTAAGGGCTTTTGAGATCATCTGTTCCTGCATCAGGCCTGAGTGATGCAACACACTTCCACAACTGCTATTGTCATTTCTTGAGGTTTCCAAACACCACTTTTCATTCTGAAAGCTTCCAACAGGTTGTACACAATGAGCAGGAAACAGATGCGTCCTAGAGATTTATTTAAATATTTTATGTGTATTTACTCCAGACACAGAATTAAAATACCAGCTTTGCAGAATGCAAATGCTGTACAAGAAATTCTCTTAAAAATGTTCCCACCTTCTGGATTCACAGACTGAAAAGCAAAACATAAGATCTCCAACGTCAAGTTCTAGACAAGATTCCATTGATTGTTTCTGTGTCACTTGGTTTCTTAAAGCGATAGTAAGTCAGAAAAGTTTATTCCTTTTTTTTTTTAATTCTTTCTTTTTTTTTTATTGGATGATTTATTTACATTTCCTATGTTGTCCCCTTACCCCATCCCCCACCACCCCCTCGGAACCCCCAATCCCCTCGCCCCTCCTCCTTCTTCTCTGTGGATGTAACCTCTATCTACACCCCCCCACTCCCACCTCCCCACCCTCAAAATTCCCACCCCCTGGGGCATCCAGCCTTCATGAGGTCAAGGTTCTCTTCTTCCACCTATGCCCAGCAGGGCCCTCCACTTTTACATATTCAGCTGAAGCCCTGGATCCCCCCCTAAGTGCTCCCAGGCTGGTGGTTTAGACCCTGGGAGCTGTGGTTGGTTGGTATTGTTGCTCTCCTCATGGTGCCACAAACCCTTTCAGCTCCTTCAGTCTTCACTCTAACTCCTCTATTGAGAACCCCATGATCAGTGAAAAGTTTATTCCTAATGAGGAACCTTGGAAATAAAAACTTAAAATTTGATAATAAAATAATAAAATTTGATAATAAAATAATAAAAACTTAAATTCAGAGTTAATTATGAAATATCATGTAGTTATAGTATGACTTTTTTTCCCCTGTGAGGCCTTATGAAGTGTCATAATTGCACTTTAATTTGGAAATAATCTTAAATCTTTTCAGAGTGGTAAAAGATAAAATCACTCAAAAGTCCATGACGAGGTGACAGCAAGAAGAAAGGGCTAAAATACTGCAAACTGTCACATAGCTGAGTAAGTGGGCAATCTCAAATAAGCGTGCCTGTGCTCCTCCATGGACCACGGTTTTACTGTGGATTGTGTGCTAAGGTAGGTAGGAGTGTGTGTGTGTGTGTGTGTGTGTGTGTGTGTGTGTGTGTGTGTGTAACATGGTGTATCTGAATATGGTGGATATAGACTGGATACCAACATCCAGTATCTTCCTTACTTGCTCTCCACCCACTTTGTTTTTTGGTTTAGTCTGGTTTTGGTGGTGGTGGTGGACTTTCTGGTTGTTTTTTTGTTTTTGTTTTAATGTATTCACTTTACATCCAGCTCACTGGCCCCCTCCTGATCACATCCTGCCACAAGCCTTTCCCCCTTCCCCCTCCCCCTTCTCCATCTCCACTGAGACTGTGGGGACCCCTCTGAATATCCCTCAACCCTGGCACTTCAGGTCTCTGCAGGGCTAGGCACATCCTCTCCCACTGAGGCCAGACAAGGCATCCCAACTAGAAGAATGTATCCCACATATAGGCACCAGCTTTTAGGATAGTAACCTCTCTAGTTGTTCAAGATCCATATGAAGACCAAGCTGCATATCTGTTACATTTGTTAGGAAAAGTCTAGGTCCAGCCAGCCTGTGTTTGATTCTTTGGTTGGTGGTTCAGTCTCAGAGAGCCCCAAGAGTCCAGGTTAGTTGATTCTATTAGTCTTCCTGTGGAGTTCCTATCCCCTATGGCGCCCACAATCCTTCCTTCTATTCTTCCATAAGAGTACCCAAGCCCCATCCACTGTTGGGGTCTCAAGTTGGGCCAGTAATTGGTTGGTTGTTCTCTCAGTCTTTGCTCCATCCCATGTTCCTGCATTTCTTGTAAAAAGGATAAATTTTGGGTTCAAAGTTTTGTCCCTATCACTCCATTGAGGTTCCTGCCTGGCTACAGAAGGTGGCCTCTTTCGGTTCTATATGTCTAATGCTGTGAGTCACAGCTAAGGATAAGCCCATTGATTCTTGGATACCTCACTCCCTTATTCCAGGTGTCTTAGGGTTTTACTGCTGTGAACAGACACCATGAACTCTTATAAGAAGAACATTTAATTGAAGCTGGCTTACAGGTTCAGAGGTTCAGTCCATTATCATCAGGGTGGGAGCATGGCAGCATCCAGGCAGACATGTGGCTGGAGGAGATGACAGTTCCACTCTTGTAGCTGGGAGAAGACTAGCTTCCAGGCAGCTAGGGTGAGGGTCCTAAAGCCCAAGTCCATAATGACACAATTCCTTCAACATGGCCACACCTACTCCAACAAGGCCACACCTCCTAATAGTGCCAAACATACACAAATCATCATATCATGTCTCTGTCTATTCCTGGAGATGTTCCATACCTCCCCAGCCCTGTCAGTTGCAGATTTCCATTCATTTTCATGGCTATCTGGCCATCCCTCCTGTCTGTCTCCACATCTGATCCTGAGCAACCCTGCCCCACCCCCATTCCCTTCCCTATCTCCTCTCCTTCCCAGTTCTCTTCTTCCATCTGATTCTTATGGCTATTTTATTCCCCCTTCTAACTGAGATTCAAGCATCATTACTTATAAGACTTCCATCTTGTTTAAATTCTTTGGGTCTGTGGAGCATAGCATGGATATCCTGTATTTTATGGCTAATATCCACTTATAAGTGAGTACATACCATGTATGTCCTTTTGGGTCTGGGTTACCTTACTCAAGATGGTATTCTCAAGTTCCATCTATTTCCCTGCAAAATTCAAGATGTCTTTGTTTTTAATAGTTGAATAGTATTTCATTGAGTAGATTACTTCTTTTCCTTTATCCATTCTTCAGTTGAGAGACATCTGGATTGTTTCCAGTTTCTGGCTATTACAAATAATGCTGCCATGAACATAGCTGAGCAAATATCTTTGAGGGATGGTGGAACATCTTTTGAGAATATGCCCAGGAGTGGTATAGCTGGGTCTTGAGGTAGACCTATTCCCAGTTTTCTGAGAAACCACCAAATTGATTTCCAAAGTGGTTGAACCAGCTTGCCATTCCACCAGCAATAGGAGTGTTCTTCTTTCTCCACATCCTCACCAGCATGTGCTGTCACTTGAGTTGATTTTTTTTAACACTTCATGAATCTGCATGCCATCCTTGCACAAGGTCATGCTAATCTCCTCTGTACTGTTCCAGTTTTAGTATATGAGTTGCCAAAGTGAGTATTCACTTGAGTTTTTGATCTTAGTCACTATGATAGGTGTAAGATAAAATCTCCGAATTATTTTGATTTCCATTTCTCTGATGACTAAGGGCTCTGAACATTCTTTAAGTGCTTCCTGGCCATTTGAGATTCCTCTGTTGAGAATTATCTGCTTAGCTCTGTGCTCCAGTTTGTAACTGGGTTATCTCTGTCTAACTTCTTGAGTTCTTTGTAAAGTTTGGATATTAGCCCTCTGTCAAATGTAGGTTCGATGAAGATACTTTCCCAATCTGTAGGTTGCCATTTTGTCCTTCCAAAGTTCTTTTATTGTTCAGGATTGTTTTGGCTATCCTGGGATTTCTATTTTTCCATATAACGTTGAGAATTGCTCTTTCAAGGACTATAAATAATTGTGTTAAAATTTGATGTGGGTGGCATTGAATCTGTAGATTACTTTTGGTAAGATGGTTACTTTCACTATGCTAATTCTGCCTATCCATGAATATGAGATAGCTTTCCATCTTCTGATATCTTCTTCAACTTCTTTCTTCAGGGTCTTGAAGTTCTTGCCATATAGATTTTTCACTTCCTTGGTTAGAGTTATACTACAATAGTTTATGTTGCTGGTGGATATTGTAAAGGGTGCTGTTTCCCTAATTTCTTTCTCTGTCAGTTTATCATTTGTATAAATGAGGGCTACTGATTTCTTTGAGTTAATTTTGTATCCAGTCACTTTGCTGAAGGTGTTTATCAGCTGTAGAAGTTCTCTGATAGAATTTTTTGGGTCACTTAATTATACTATCATATCATCCACAAACAGTGATAGTTTGACTTCTTTTTAGATTTGTATCCCATGGATCTCCTTTAGTTGTCTTATTGTTCCTGACTTTAGTGGAATTGCTTTAAGTTTGTCTCCATTTAGCTTAATGTTGGCTACTGGCTTGCTGTATATTGCTTTGATTATGTTTATGTATGTGCCTAGTGTCCCTAATCTCTATAATACTTTTAACATAAAGGGATATTGGATATTGTCAAAAGCTTTCTCAGCATTTAATGAGATGATCATGTGATTTATTTCTTTTACTTTGTTTATATGATGGGTTATGTTGATGGATTTTCATATATTGAACCGTCCCTGCATCTGTAGGATGAAGGCTACATCTAATGGATGATGCTTTTGATGCTTTCCTGACTTTGCTTTGTGAATATTTTATTGAGTATTTTTTCATCAATATTCATAAGAAAAATTGGTTCAAATTTTCTTTCTTTGTTGAGTCTTTGTGTGGTTTAGGTATCAAGATGACAATGGCTTCATAGAATGTGTTTGGCAGTGTTCCTTCTATTTCTATTTTGTGGAATTGTTTGAAAATTTTTGAAAAAGCTCTTTGAAAGTCTGGTAGAATTCTGTACTAAAACCATCTGGCCATGGACTTTTTGTTTGTTTGGTTGTTGTTGGAAGACTTTTAATGACTACTTCTAATTCTCTATAAGTTATAGGGCTATTTAAATAGTTTACCTGATCTTTTTATTTTTTGATATTTTATTTATTTTTTTCCTTTTTTTTGAGACTATCTTTTTTTTTAAATTTTTTCTCAAATCGTAATTAATTCACACAGGGGTTATAAACACAGAAAGGCAGGATGTGGGGAAGGGAATGAACTGGAGTGTGGGTGTTCAGGGGGAATACAGATATCTTCAGAACTGGGTATTGGCTAGGTGAAGGTTCAGGGGACAATTCACTATGACTCTGCCTATGACTTATCTTAGTTGGTATTGTCTGCCAAGGCTACCTGTTTACAAGGTCTATGACTACTCAGGCTTATAAATTTCCACAAAAGCTGCCTGTTGACATTAGCTTATAGCCATCTGTTTCAATGTTTTTCCACTGAGACCCAAGACTTGGTGTTAGTATACATGTATGACATGCCTATTGCTGATTTTAGGCCTATTGCTGATTTTAGGCCTATGGCTGATTTTAGGCCTTCAGAGTGTAAGCAGGGCTGCCCCGACATCTCCTCCCTTCTCTAAGTATAGAAGGGCTGTGGCAATTCTAAACTTGCGAAGGCGGGGATAGAGGCCTGACCTCCAGTATTTGAAGGGGACCTTGGAATGGCTCCAGTCCCCCTGTGGTTGTCCAGTGAGGCATGAGGGCCATACCCATCCCGATGCCTTTTTCCTGGAGAGGGGATACTTTTGACATCAACCCCTATGCAGTCATGCTTGTCCCTCAGGGAACCCAGATAGATATTTTTATCTTTTATTTATATTCCCTTGCAGTGCTTAGCCTCGCAGCCTAAGCAAGAATTCAGATCGCCTGTTACAGGGGGTTCTGGGTGGCCCCTCTCTGCTTGGTCTAGGAGCAGAAGTCCCCCCTCTTACGTTGGGTGGAGATGGGTTTTGGAAACACCCTTATAAAGTAACAACCTCATCTTGAGTCTTGTGGTCCTCCATAGCTAACTAATGATAATGTATCTGAGTAGGTTTTACTACCAAATTATTTATCTGTTGTATCACAGAGTTAGTTCGCCTATTTGAGGGCCAGGGACCAGCAGAAAAAAGCAAAAAGAACCCAAATAATGGTCCCAAGACGGAAGGAAATAGGGTTGACAATCTTGGAGAGGCTGAACACCAATTCTTGTACCAGCATTCATCTGTCTCTTTCTCTCTCTGATTTTTCTTAGGGCCTTCACTGCCTATTTGATGCTCTCTTTAACCCTCCTTGCCTTGTCTATGTAAAGGCAACCTTCCTCTTTGAGGGTTGTACACAGTCAAGAGCTGTACACAGCCTTTTCTATTGTACTAGAGTAAATCAAGTCCAATAAGGATCTTTGCAATTTTAGGAGGTCTCTTCAGACGGCGAAACGAGGATTTCTTCACATTAGTGACATCAGTCTCTAGCTGTATGATGTTCTTGTCAGTGGCCCTTCAAAGGTCTGAGTAGTATAAGTTCGGAGGCCAGCATCTGAATTAGAACTTCTAACAGCAGAAATCACCGGTGATTCATTTTTACCTGGGATGCTGTCTGAGTTAAAGCTCCTGGGAGTCCCTCTTTCTCTCTGTTTTCTGGGATTGGGTACGGAGCTGCCGCCTGTGACCTGCTCTATGCTCAGGCCCAGACTGGAAGTCCCAGTTTACCTGATCTTGATTTAACCTCTGTAAGTGGTATCTGTCTCAAATATCATTCATTTCCTTAAGATTTTCCAATTTTGTTGAGTACAGGCTGCTGAAGTGAGATCTAATGGTTCTTTGAATTTCTTCACTTTCTCTTGTTATGTCTCCCTTTCCGTTTCTGAGTATTTAGTCATTTACTGATACGGTCTCTCACTGAACCTGCAGCTCACTGATTTATCTAGACAACGACCTTCCTGTTTCCACCTCTCAATGCTGGGACTTTAGGCATATACTACATAAAGCTCTCATTGCATTTTCAGACAACTAATTAATTCAACTCGTAGTATACACTCAGAAGAACTGAAGATATTTTGCTATACAAAGTCACATATACAAATATCAGCATTATTCACAAGGATGCAACACTGCAAATAATGCCAATATTCATCAGTAGATGAGTGAGAAAACATGGTATATTGATGTAATGTAGCGATATTTCAACCATGAAATGAGATAATGTTCTAACATATGTTTTAGCATCATTATTACATAAATAATTAAGTTTATTTATTGCATTTTTGTTAGAATTTTAAAACTTTAAACAGATTTTCTTTGTTGTGTGTGGTGGCAGATAGCTTTAATCTCAAAAGTAGGGAGATCAAGACAAGTAAATCTTAGTGAGTTGAAGTCCAGCTTAGTTTACATAGAAAGTTCCAGGCCTGCCACGGCAACATTATGAAACTTGTCTCAAAACAAGCAAACGAACAAATAAAATTTCTTTGTAAATCATTTCAATTTTTCATGAAACCTGTTTCTAAAGGTTTTTTTTTTCTATTAAGTCCAATAGTTTGCAACGTTTCCTGATTGATGGACAAAAGAATGGAGTCTGAGCTGGATCTCAGGCATAGAATGAAGATAAAACTTTCTGAATGGCCAGGAAGGTTGTAAGATTACTATCTAGCGGGAGCCTTTCAGATAAAAAAACAAAGACATACCAGTTTTTCCCTCCCTTAAGAGATAATCCAAATGGGCCTGTCAATTACTTGGACGGGAAAGCAGCCTTCAGGAAGCTTTCTGTTCCAGGTATTTTCTAGAAAACGGTATAAGGCCTCTGGAAATGGTAGTAAAGAACTGCAGAGCTTATAAGAGACAGAGCAAGAGTATCAGAAGTCCAACGCCTACTTGAAAGTATGGCTGCTAATTAGAAGTCTATCTAAATGTACAGATTTTGTACGTATGTATTTCTTGTTACTTTGTGATAAATCTTACCCATCCTCTACACTACACTCTGTAGATCTCACCAGAATTACTTTAAAACTAATCACAAGGATCAGGGAGCCTGGCAAGGTGAAGCCAGCGGGAGATGCTGTTAACCTCTCAACTAGGCTGAGGAGAGGAGAATAAAAAGGAGGTAGAAGATTTTATGAAAGAGTCACATAAATATCCAGTTCTTAAAGGAGGGATTAAACACTGGCCCAACTAGCTCCACTCATTTTTGTAAGTAACTTGAATTCTAGATGTCAGGCTCTGATACCCATTAGCACACCAAAGTGCATGCTGACCTCCAGTCTCCTGCACTTTTTGTCTCTTCTCAGCTCTTCTCAGCTCTTCTCAGCTCTTCTAACACTACACTTCTCCACCTCCTGGCATTTTCTCCTCCAGCTTCTCTTTCCCATATAAATAAACCTGACATTTCCGCCATATTCTCTCTCTCTCTCTCTCTCTCTCTCTCTCTCTCTCTCTCTCTCTCTCTCTCTC